CCTGGTTCAATGTCGAGTAACAGTTTATATCATCATAGAACCTAGTTTATATAAAAATTCATTTAATAAATACTACAGATTATCATTTTTAAAATTTAATTATCTAATAATTCACATTTTATTACCTACTGTTACAGCCATTATATGTAAAATAATCCGATTTGGTGATGTGCATGTACCTTTTATGTGCCTCCTCACTCCATATTAGTTCCCAGTGACCAGTATCATTTCTCAGGTCATCAGTAGCAATTTGTTTGATAATTATTAAGTAAATTAAATAATTCTTCATTAGTTTAAACATAATTTATTAGTTTATTAGTTAGTTTATTGTGACAGGAAATTAATTTACATAAATTTTTAATGATATATAATATGATTTATAAACAATATACTGTCAAATATCGACATTTTTATTCATATCCTTTACAACTACTACTTATAATAAAATTTTTATTTTAAAGGAAACAAACAGTACTTTTTCGCCAAATTATTCACATTTGCATAAAAACATTTGAAAACTAACAACATTTTAATCTTTCAAATACTATACACTAATGTGTAATTTATTCATTTACAAATTACAACATAATAAAGTAATTATGATAATATAGGATAATACATACTGTAATGCATAATACATAAAAATATTTGACATACTATTAACATGAAAATTTATAATTTAATAATGCTTTTTTAATCTTTTAGATATAATAATGTGTATTTATAATATTAATGNTTTACAAATTACAACATAATAAAGTAATTATGATAATATAGGATAATACATACTGTAATGCATAATACATAAAAATATTTGACATACTATTAACATGAAAATTTATAATTTAATAATGCTTTTTTAATCTTTTAGATATAATAATGTGTATTTATAATATTAATGACATTAATTAAGGTTATTCATCTACATATTACAGCTTAATAGGATACATATAATAAAACCTAATGGTAAATAAGAAACATTTATGAAATCAAACACATAATTTTATTTAATTAGTCAGTAATGGCATATTCATTCATATTATCAGAATTATCACGAATTGTTTCGTAACTATTAATTGTATCGTAATTCTCATTAATCTTATCGTAATTATCATCAGTTGTGTCATTACGTTGTAAGCGGCGGTGATTATAACGAAACTCTAATGTATTTTGTCTACTAATCCGTTTCAATCTCTTATATCTCGTACTCAAGTAAATGATGATTAAAAGCAACACAAATATAAGACTAATTACAAATACGAAAGCTATTGTTTTGTATAAACTTGGTGTTTTATCGCTTACATTTTCAGCCGGATTAATTTCGGACATAATACTCTCGCAAATCTCTGTCGCACTTTTAATGGAATCCCGTAATTCATATGTCGACTGCACCATGCTAACATTTTTGATCAATTGATAAAAACGCATGTAATCAATTATAAGTACAGGACAGTTAGTCTCTTGATAATTATCATTATCAGGATTAGCGTGGATGGAATTGTTGATCACGATCCCCATTTCCAAATATAACGGTTTGTCACCTGAGGTATTGAACTCGGTAAATGATGAATTATCAAGCCTTTTGTTGGTCATGATACTCATATCATCGAAACTAAACGTACAGTGAGTGGCATTCCACTGGAACACGTACTTATGAAATTGGTGCAACTTG